GTAATGTGGTGATCTATGAAGCAGTGTGTGCTAGGTTATCTTCTGTTTGCCTTACAGCACATGGGCAGGTACACCTGTGTTCCTATTGTACAGCTTGATAAAGTAATTCCTGTGTGACTCCATACAATTGTAGCATGAAGTGAGCCAGCAGTGGGGCATCTCTTATCATATAAAGCTTCCTTGTCCTCATCAGAGACAATTTGAATGCCCCGTACCTTACCAAAAGGTTGTGCATTTAATTACAAAAACTTCTTGGCGTGAAATAAACCCATTCACCTCTGGCACTGAGCCTTCAGTCAGCAGTTTGTGCTCTGTGAAAGTAGGAAACTGATCTGCATAGTCATGCTAGAGGTTCCTGGGAGTCTCTTCAGTTATGCCATGTTCTTCTGCTGGCAGACATAAGAAGATTTGTTTTTGCTCATGAATGTTTGCCGATTTGAGTTACCCCATGCCTGACTTTCATTTTGTTATTGTTTGGTCTGCCTGATGTTTGATATTGCTCTTTCTATCTATCTGTATTTTATCTGTATGTAATAGAGGCATGTCCCAGTTGGTTATTGACCTCTTGGGGAGGGCCGGGAGGAGAAACAAAACTGAAAGTAGCCTGGTTTCTCCGGAGCTCTTTGTCGGAGCTGTTTGCCAGTGAAATGAAACTTAAGGGTAACAGCTCTTTGTTGTGCTTTTGTTTCTCCTAAAAGCTGCTTTGCAGAATAGAAAGGATGACAGTTTAGCTATTTTTCTCACCCCCTTTGTCATGATTGACCAGTTTCTTGTTCTTCTCCGAACGGCTTGGTAGGGGTGCATTAATGTACAGAAGATGTTGTATTAAACAACAACTGTTGTTTAATACAATTTTAAACCTAGAGTTGCCACCCGTTCCATATGTTTCAACACATTGTACCGTGGATGTTGGCTGTGGTGATGTTATGACCACAGGTGCAATCCTGTGTCTATCCACACATCTTAACAGGTGTTGGGATGAAAGACAAGTGATCGAGAAGGCAAATATTTACATTGTTGTTTTTTAGAGGGTGGGGGGCATCCTCTGATCTTCAAATAATCTAGTTAAACAAACCTGCCATTTAAAACAGCCTTTACTTGCATGTGTTCACCCTGACAATCATTGCCTGGTAATGAATAAGCAGATATGGTTGCTAAAATGGCGCTCGCTTTGTACACTACTTTGTTTTCACTGACTCCATGTAACTTTCAGCTTATGTTGAATGGATATGCAATGAGTGTGTGGCAAAGTGAATGGGATGATTGCACTACTAGCTCATGAAAATACCCCTGCTATATATGGTGCTAGCATGGCATTAAAAGTTACCATAACTAACTGATGCCCTCCAGACAGCTTGTACGATAGTCACAGTACGATAGTCACAGTACGATAGTCACCCAAGGTTGGAGATCTGAGGTGTGCTTTCAAGAGTCTGTCCATTTTTTTTTTGTGGGAAAATCAGTAATTTGGACAGACTGACTTTAAGCATCTTTTTTTTTTTTTTTGCTTCTGCTTTTGTAATTGAGTGAGGGCTCCCACCCCCACGAAGGAGGGTGTGCCCGGACACCTTGCCGTCTGGTGTGGCTCCGCGGGCAGGTTTGCACAGAGCCTGCCTCGCTGCTCATTGTGTCAGCCTGTGACTGAAGCCCCACCCTGCACAGTTACCCTCCCCGCACGGGTGTGTCACAGGGGGTGTGGGGGCGGCTTGAACGGAGCAGATTCTGGGGTCTGATAGGATACCGTCTTGGTGCTGATATTTAAGCCTCTAGAAAAGAGCTTTCAGTGAGTTCATTTAGGTCACAGTTTCACAGAAGCTTAGTGACCCCCCCCCACTTCTTCCTTCCCTTCTTCCTACTGGGGTTTGTCTTCCTGTATGATATGATATGATTCCACAAGCATCTGTTTGATAACTGATCTGAACATTAGCCGGCCATATAAATGGCCAAGTGCTGTCGGTTGTCTACACTTAATTTTCTTCTCGTTGAATTTCTTAGCCTCCTACTGTTGCTAATCGCTCCTTCTTGTCATGTCAGCTCCCTCAAAACCTCCGCAGTTATCTGCGCATCTGGTCATGTCGCCCTGTGTGGGGAAACCGGTCGCCTGGCGCGAAGCCCTGCATAGTTGAAGCCCGTCTCCACCTCAGCCGCAGCCACCATGTGACCTGCCCCGTCCAACTGAGCGTGTGCCCGGCCCGTCACACTGATGTCGGTTGGAGCAGCAGTGGGGCTTAAACTGTGCTCTTAAATCAATACCCTGTGTTGTTATGGATAAAAGGCTTCGGATATACTGGTATATATGGGATATTGCTGTAAAACAGAGAGAGCAAGATCAGATTCAGATCCATAGGTTTCTATGCAGTTTGGAACAGTATGGACCTTTATTTTGGTGTTTACCAACTCTGGGTAGTGTGGAAAAAGGAAAAAGTACTTTGGTGTTTCCAGGCTGTTTTTTGATTTGAATCACTGATGTGTGAGCTGCTTGTCAGCACCAGAATGTGCACAATGAGCACGTCTGAAACCAAGGAATGTGGGTGTATCAGTGGGGTGCATGCTTGATTAATCTCCAGCAAGAAATATTAATGTAGACAACCTTGAATTTGTAATAGCGAGTGTGGAGGAAATGCAAGTCTTCACCTGCTTGGCTTGCTAATCACAAATATTGTAACTGGTTGACTAAAGATCCCAAATGTGAATAGAAAGCAAAATGCAAAGATTGTGAAAGGTTGTTCAATATCTTCCCTATTTTCCTAAAACAAAAACAAGATAAATAAGGTTAACAACCACACTCTGAATCTTGGATGTCGGAAGTTGGTGTACCTATCTAAATGGGGATCGTCCATTCATTTCTATCGGCAACACCCTAATCCCAATCACGACACCCTTGACCCCTACCCATCCCTAACCTTAACCATAAGTAACCAACCCAAATACAAGACTTTTGGCATTTATACTTTTTTGATTGCATTCACAGTTTTTTTTTTTATTTAATAAAACTGAGGTTATCCAAATGGGGACCTCAAAAGATGTCCCCAAAAGTAGGGAAATTTCAGGTTTTACTACACTTTGGGGACAATTTGGTCCTCAAATGTTATCTATGCAAACCCACACAAACACACACTTTCCCTCTGCAGTCGTGCATTTAAAAATGTATAATACTCACTTAAACTACGGCCATTACACATTTGGCATACATGTTTGTACATAGACTGGCCTTTGGCTTTAGCAGCAGGCAATTTCCAAACTAACAACTGGGTTATGTCTTCACAGCAGAGTATTTTCGAGTTAGACTGGCTTGGGTCATGTATAACCAAAATATTTAACAGTAGTAGGTGATATTTCGTGTTTGCTACTATCCAGGCATTACACTAACGTATACGGTATTTAGTCTGTATTTCAAAATGCAACCGTCCCAGTATTTTGAAATGCCCCAAGAAACACTCGTCAAAAAAATACCACAGTATGCTGTGCTGCCATTATACTGCCCAAGCCTAAGTAGTACTTCTACTAATAAATGCGTTTTCAGTTCGTAAACATGAAAACACTTCAAAGTACAAATGTGTAAACAAGTTGTCATGCATTAACCCTTATATAGTTGATGAAAAATGTGTGTGTAGGCATCAATAAGTGGAACTTATCAAATTCCTGGTTCTTAAAAATTTAGAACAGTTGCTCTGGTGAGCCTAGTTATAAAATTTAGTCGTGCTGTTTCCTTAAATGCAAATAAATGGTCACAGTCTGGACCCCTGGACGCTATGGTTTCTCTAACATTAATGTTAAAGTGCAAAAAAACCGCTGTGAACTTCAAACTCTAGTCTTTCAGTCATTCATAAAGAAATTAAACCATTGTGAAATAGACCCTTCAACAGCAAAGCCGTGTGTGTGTGTGTGTGTCTGTGTGTGTGTGTGTGTGCTGCTGGTCCGCATCTGCCTTATCAGACTGGCCTTTAACTGTAATTCTGCTGACTAGCTGCTTATCGTTTAACTTTGAGTAGCTTTTTTTTCATCTTAAGTTAGGATCTTTAAGAAGTTTGACTGTTTGACAGGCGGTGCTCCATGAAAGTGTTTGGAATTGTAATCAGCGTGAAGCTTGTGGGTAAATAGATTCGCCTGTTAAAATGACAGCATTGTGCTTTTTAGAAGACTGTCACAGGAAGCCACCTCAAAATGCTTATCGTTACCCAAGGGACACAATGAGAGAAGCGCTTTAATGTTCACAAGGGGCATTCTTTTGTTGGCTTTTATTCTGAGTTTTATTCTGGTATATCAGTGCCAGCACACCTGAACATGCACACCTGAACATGCACACCTGAACATGCACACCTGAACATGCACACCTGAACATGCACACCTGAACAGTTTCCATTTCCCCGGCATTACATCGCCTAAGAACATTCCTTATGTCAACAATGACTCAGGCAGAACTAAAGAGCATTACTGTGTTTGATATGCACAGTGGTGGTTTTGCCAGACAGTGAATAAACTATAATCAGGAGCACAGGCAAAGCACTGCATAAGGTCTTTAGTTAAAAATGCTTTATTTCTTTAAGTTTTATTACTAGGAATTAGAGACAAGTGCCCCAGGTCATTTTGAAAAGGTAAATTTTACGGACTGCTTGAGGGGCTTACTGCACTATGATGCCCTCAAACAGGTAAAATACTGGCTGGTCTAGCAAGTTTGGGGCTGGGAAATTTCCCAGCTCTGGTTTCTTGTACAGCTCTTAGATTTTTAGATTTAAACAGTCTGGTACTAATTAAAATACATAATTAGGCAAAGAGCTATTTAATTAATGAAGTCATTAAGATCTGAGGTTGATTGGGGAACACCACACACACGGTGGCCCCCCAGGCTCGGATCAGTGCAGTCCTGCTGTGCACATCATTGAGCAAGAGTGAGAGAGGCCGTTTGGTCTTGTGTGGTTAGCTCTTGAGTGTTTACCCAGAATGCCATCTACCATTCAAGCTGTGCATTTTCCTTTTCATCACTTCCTCATTCCATGCAGGCTCCACGAGGAGATCATCGACTTCTATGAGTACATGTCCCCAAGACCAGAGGAAGAGCGGATGAGGAAGGAGGTGGTGGACAGGATTGAGAGAGTCATCAAAGCCCTGTGGCCAGCAGCAGAGGTAAAAGCCCAGAGCCGTCTGGCTCAGCGAATCGGGACATACGAGACTGCAAACTCTTTCTTCTGATGATTAACCAGAAATGTAACAGGTTGAGGAAATGGGGCAAGTCTCCTAATAATGCATGTTAGCGCTGGTGATGGAAATTTTGCACTGTAAGCCCAGCAGCTGTCTTATCGGTGCCCTCTGTCATACTTGCCCTTTCCTTCCTCTGCCCTATTGTGAGGCGATCTCCCTGGTGGCCCAGTCCCTGTTGACTTTGAGCTGGCCAGCAGATAAGCTTGGTCCCCGCCCCTCAAACACTGCTTAGTTTGGCCACCAAGGCGCCTTGTGCTTCAAGGGCAGCATTAGCCTCTGTCCCACCCTCTAAATGTCCATGTCCTCTACTATTGGCCCACTCCTGCCAAGCCCCTCGGTGTGCCCAATCCTGTGATTCTCTTCAGAAACCGTATCCACGCCCTCACTGAAGCCAAACTGGGAGCAGCCTCTCTCACTCTCCTTCGTTGTTTCCCCTTTTTCTCACCTTTTTAATCATCATTTTGTAATGTGTATGTATCATGTAACTCAACTACGATGTTATTTAAGATCTTTGGCATTCAGTCAGTTCTCCTAGCAACATTAGCAGTGTTATGATAGCGCCTTATGACATGCAGGAAACTTCATGCTAATTTATGCATGATTCAAACCAGGCTCTAGTCGTGTATAATATTTTTTGGACAGTCCTTTTTGAATATGGTAATGAAATCTGTAAATGAGGTATGAAGCTGCTGCATTCACAAGTGGCCACTAGAGGCCAGCATGGCTAAATGTTTCCAGCAGGGCCTTCAGTGTGGTAAAGATGGGGACGTGTTCCTCAATTAACCAGCAGATATGAGCCCTTTTATTATTGAAATTATATTTTATTGTTACATTTATCATTTTTCTCATTGTTTGTTAGTAATATTGCTGCTATCAGAGATCCATTAACTGTCATTCTGAAATTTTAAACCCTGTTTTTTCAGCTTCAGATGTTTGGAAGTTTTAGCACTGGCCTCTATTTACCAACAAGGTGAGTCTGTTTTTATTGCTGCTGTTATTCGTAATGTAACATTGTACTGTTTAGCATTAGTACCCTTCTTTTATACCAACCACTGTTAATTAGACATTTTAGGGAATGCAGGTAGGTGGATCCACCCGTGGGTTTTATTTCTGCTGGAGTCTGATCCAGTTACCATGCCGCTGCCACACTGGCCGTTCTCCCCGGCGTGTGACACTGAGCAGCCCGCTGTGTTGGTGACATAATATCGTGACGTGCTTTCCTCAGTGACATTGATCTGGTGGTGTTCGGGATGTGGGATAACCTACCCCTTTGGACTTTGGAAGAGGCCCTGCGTAAGAGTCGCATGGCTGATGAGAACTCTGTCAAGGTGCTGGACAAGGCCACGGTAAGCATTGCCGTGCCCCCCCATCCATAGTACTGATCGAAGGAATGGGGTTAATAGCCACTTTCACGGCGAGGTTATGGAACCTGGTCCCTGGTTACAAGTTCTCGTGCTGTCTGACCTGGGGACTTTTGTAGCTCCTGGCCACATTCGTATGTCATTTTCACACCACACAACAGGAAATGGGACCTTTATGCTAAATAAGCATGGGAGATTCAAAAAGTAAACTTCACACACAATTCACAAGTACACCACCCCCCACCCCCCAAAAACCCAGCGCAAAAGTATATTGGTTATCGATGAAATGTGTCGATGCAGAAATATGGAGACACATGCAAAAAAAAATTCATTAAATGTAATTGAAATACAAAAATAACTTCATCTGCTCAGTTTTCCCTCTCTTCCCCACACTTTTGCATAACTTCCAAGTTGGCGGTGATGTTTATGGGCCCCGTAGTTTGTATTTGAATGAAAAGTACCTAGTCTGGAGTACGTACTAAAAAATGATTCCGGAACTGCCTCAAAGGAACTACAATCGTGCAGAGTTCCTGTGGTGTGAACCCACCAAAAGTTCTTGGTTCTGGAAAAGGGTGCTGGTTCCTCAGAAACGTTCCTGCAGTGTGAAAGCGCCTAATGTGAAATCACTCCCCCCCCACCCTAGTTTACTCAGCCACAAATTCTGTATTAAATGCTCATTTGTATTGATAAAAACTTATCACCAACATTCAGGTGCCCATCATCAAGCTGACTGATTCATGTACTGGAGTCAAAGTGGACATCAGCTTCAATATGCAGAACGGCGTAAAAGCTACACAGCTCATCACGGACTTCAAGAAGGTGGGGCAGCCATCTTATGCTGAGCAGAAGAGGTTTTGAAGCATAGCAGTGGTCTTTCTTGTCTTTGCTCTTCACTGATAGCTTGTATCTCGGGCTGATCACGCTGTAGAGCTCCATTGCTTCCCTGACGGTGTGTCTTTGTCCTTTCAGACGTATCCCGTGCTCCCCCATCTGGTGCTTGTACTGAAGCAGTTCCTGTTGCAAAGGGACCTAAATGAAGTTTTTACAGGTGGCATCGGGTCCTACAGCCTCTTCCTCATGGCCGTCAGCTTCTTGCAGGTGTGTCTCTCCCGTTCGCGCCATTTCGCGTCCTCCTGTCCCAACTTCGCAACTGAATTGTCAGATCTTGAGAAACCCCCGCTTTGTATCTTCTAGCTCCACTACCAGGAAGATGCCTGCGACCCCAACGTCAACATTGGGGAGATGTTGATTAAATTCTTCGAGCTCTATGGCAGGCAGTTCAACTACCTGAAGACGGGCATCCGGATAAAGGACGGCGGCAGTTACGTGGCCAAGGATGAGGTGCAGAGGAGCATGCTGGACGGTTACCTGCCATCCATGCTCTACATTGAGGATCCCCTGCAGCCAGGTGAACGTCCCGCTAGTCCGCAGGACGGAATCATAATTCCATAACCCTGAGGCAGCTGGGAATCTCGACACGTTTTTGCTTGTATGTTAATGTTGAGATTCCACTCAGACAACGACGTTGGCCGAAGCTCATACGGTGCCATGCAGGTGAAGCAGGCTTTTGACTACGCCTATGTGAAACTCCACAACGCCGTGACCTCTGTCAACAAGTACGCTCCCAAAAATGAGGCTGAGAGGTGAGCCGCCCCCTGGCAGTGGGCCCAGGTGCTTCTATCAGGTCGCCGTGCTCTGTAATTACGTGACTAACACTAACCCTTCGTTTTAGCAGCATATTGGGCCGAATAATTCTGGTCACCCAGGAGATAGTAGAATACAGAGAATGGGTCACAGAGAAATGGGGACTCCATTCTCAGAAAGACCCCGCTTTTAACGGTAAGGTACCCAGAGCCAAGTGTTGGGCAGAGACTCGGAAGCACAGACTCCCCCTGATGGTTCATTTATTCTCCCCTTTGCCCTTTGCCACAGGAAATGATGTCATGCTGCTGGACAAGTGCAACAACAACCTGTTCGCAGAGGCAGCGCCTGCGCCTCCTGCCGTGTCCTGTCCCAAGCTCTCCGGCAGCTCCTCCCCACCTCCCTCCCTGCTCTCCTTATCCTCCTTGTCTTCCCCTTCTTCCTCCTCCTCACCTTCTTCGTTCTCCTCCACGACATCCAGCTCCAGTGATGCTGTGAGTAGCCCAACCCCAGCTAGTAGTCATGTACACCCAATCAAAGGCTTTGGTAATTACTGTAGCAAACATCTGTTACATTGATTCAACTGTTAATATTGCTTCTACCTCACGCTGGAGTGATCACGTATGTTTTATGGGGTGAAAATATAGAACATACTTCCCTGAAAACATGTAGATGGGTGGTTTCTCTGTAAAATTACAGTTTTTTTGATTGTGTTTGTTTTCATGTGCCCCTTTGACCAATGACTGGTTGTATGCAGGATTCGGACGGGACCCCATGTAAGACTGCAAAGCAGCTCGGGGGGCGGAGCTCCAGCTTGCACAAGGAGACTTCAGGGGGTGTGGCCTTACAGAGCCAATCCTGCAGCAGCCCTAAGGGCTCCACCACGAAGAGCAAGGTGAGACTTGCAGCATGTGGTGTGAGCTGTGTGTACTGAGTAAGGAGCTGGTCTCCTGTTTCTCTTTCAAAGTAAGGCAACCCCCCCTCCTGGAATTACTACTCTCTTTGATCGTCCATGCACAAACACACTGACTAGTCATGTTCTTATGCTTGTTGATCAGACTTTGTGAATTGTCTGCTTTGCAGACCACTTCCTCCAAAACCGTTCAGGGGCAGCAGGGCACAGGACAGCTGAACGCCCTCCCAAGCATTAAGACCCCCCATAAGGGCGATCGCAAGAAGAGGAAACCCCCACTGGAGACTGTGGACCTGTGCAGATAGGGGAATGCTGCCCTCTAGTGACCCTCTGCTGTCTGTCCCAGAACTGCTCCAGGACTCTTTCCTACAGGAATATTTTATTACTGTCATTATTTTTTTTCCTTGAGGGATGCACAGCTTTTTATAAGTGAAACAGACAAATAAAAGCAGAACATGACTTCCTGGGCATGAACTCATCAATGAAGGAATGTTTTATAAGACGAATGCACTCTCCTTTTGTGGAACTCCTCGCCTTCTCACCGGAGGTTCTCGGTGATCCCGTAAGTATGGCTGGCGTCCCGGAGGAGCGAAGTTAGTATCCTGGAAGCATATTGTGGCTTTGGGACAGTCCCTAGTTTCATAATCCCCAGAAGTCAACTATAGCAGCTAAAAACAAGAACAAATATCAAAAACTGTCCAAAAATATTTGGCCTAATAGAAATTGTGAATGAGTGAAAAATGGGACAATGGGATTTTTTGATTATTCATGAATAATGTGTTGTGATTTTTATTTATAGAAATAAAGCACTCAGTATGAGGTTGAATTATGATGAAAGGCACTAATGTTAAAAGGTACATGTTAAAATGTCAGTGCTAGCTGTTTAAAATGAGCCAACACCATCCTCTCCCATTTGAAAACCAAGGTTCCTTCACCCACATTCCCAGTCAGGCGAGAAAGTATCCACAGATCTATGCAGCACGAGTTCTCCAGAAACTGGGGTAACGAGTCATGCAGCATGCATTTGTGATTTTTCATTCCCCTTGAATTTTATCGGTTATGGATTAAATTCTATATGCCTATTTATTTATTTTTTGATTATGAAAATGTACTTGTATATATGGAGTCAATGAAACACTTTAAATGATGCTGCCCTTTACAGAGCTGGGTTTGAGGGATGTGTTCTCCTAGCTGTGGTGGGAAGCGGTACTTGGCAGCATTCAGTGCTGATCCCCTCTGTATTCTTCCAGCACGTAGCATAGTTGAGTGACCAACATGCCTCGGAAAACCGAGTGACATTTTACAGTCATAACATTAACGGGCCTACATACTTACTTGACTCTTAAAGGAAGTTGGGTTTAGGTTTTACTCTTTGGATTTAATGTCGTCGGCGACGGTGAGTTTTTCGTGACATCCGCTTTTTACCAATAGGTGGTGCAATAGGGCAAGAGATCGAAATCTGAATCGTTTAATAACTCGTGCCATTTTGGTTCCGGTAAGTTATCGATCAAGTACTTAACGAAATTTAAACTGATCTGCTTGCATTGTAGTTTCCGATGTTTAAACACACAATACAGTGAATTACTAAGTATTTTTAAATATGTTAATGCTTACATATTTCAGCAACCTAAACTTTTAGAACTGTATGGTTTTTATACTGCAAATTACTGTAATCGGCACCTTAAAGCAGCTTTGAACAATCTTGTATACTTCGCATAACGATCCATTGGGGAAAAATACCTTTTTAATCTCCAAAATGCATTGAAATTCATTATTGTTAACGGAATATTTCCTCGCCTTGGCATAGAAGACATCTCTTTAATAGGCACTTAATGTCTACATAGGCATCCGGAATTACTGTGCAAAAATCTCGTGCCATTGTTTTCAAAATGTTGTTCTTGTCTTCAGCATGTTGTTTAATATCGCGACTGTTGGTGGTGGTGAACTAGTTTAAAAATAACCATTCCCCAGCTGTTACTGTATAAGGTGAAGCATAAGCAAAGGTACACCTGAATGTGTTTGACGGTGCATAAGAAACTGCTGGGTAACTGGATATATTAAGAGTTAATGTTAAAAATAATTAAAAAAAAAAAGCTAGAGTACTTTAAAAATTTGAGTCACTTAAATGTTTGAATGTCCATTGTCTTAATTCATGGGTTCTTTGTGTCCATTTCTAATTGGCGGGAAAAATGTCTAAGTGGACAATGTTGTTTTGTACATCACATGACGAAAACGACATTTGCTGCTTGTCGAGTAAAAATGTGGGTTCAGCTTGTCTGTCTGAAGCTATGATTGTATTCATAACTGGTGTGTTAATCTGCCTGATGTTGTTGCTGCTATACAATTTTTCTCCTTTATTTGCCCTTATGTTATAAAAAAAAAAAAGTGGGATGTTTCCACAGTTCATATATACAAGATTAACCTTTGTCAGATAGAATAGTTAGTCGGTATTACGCTGGTTAGGGCACCCAAAAATTCACCCTGTCCTACAGTTCAATGCTGCTTTGCAGATCCAAACTTTTCATTTTGTTCAGTTTTAAACTGGGACCTTAGTAAGTGACGCCAGCGTGAATAAGAAGACGATGCAAAGTCCGGTTCTGAGGGTGCTGTATTGGACCCGTGGCTGCAACCCAGCCGTGAGCATCTGTGTTGGACACAAATCGAAACCGAAGACATTTCTCATGTCAGAGCCCTTTATGTTTTAATGATGACTTGATTACTTAATTTTCTATTGAGAAATGGAGGAAAATATTTATTTTGTTGTCAGGAACAGTTGAGCTGTTCTTTGCTATTTTTAAAATGTTAAGATTTTACTTGCTGTTCCTTTGTCCTTGTCACTGTCCACCTATGTCACCTGCACGTTCTGGTTGTATTTTTTTGAAAAATATAAGATCTTTTGCAAAGTATATTTTTTGTGAATATTTGAATTAACATGTTGGATTTAAGCATTAAATCCTTTAAATGGAATTGGAAAAAAAAAACTTTTGAAACTGTACGTTTGAATATTAAAAGGCACTTTATGAATGTCATTGCAGTGTCTGGTATATCTTTAAAATAACGTGTGTGTGTGTGTGTGTGTCAGTGAGAGAGAGAGAGAGAGAATTATATATATGAAAATGCATATGGTTTTCACTAAGGACATATGAGGAAGTGTTGAACAAGTACCAGCTTGTCTTTCATGCAGGTAACCATTTTACGTCATGTGTTTTTAAAAGGCAGTCAGTCTGAGCGCATGAACAATTTTTTTTTTTTTTTTTTTTTTTTTTTTTTTTACTTTGTCCTGTCCGGCAGCTTTAGCAAGCAGAATCATGGTCTGAATGCACTGCTGTGCCATGAGGGGCTCTATAAACTCTGTATAGGTCCCTCATGTTGATTGATTTCTTTTTATTTATTTCATGAACATGAACATTTTTTTTTCTCATTTGTTCAGACTCTTACCCTGTCTGACTGGAAGGCTTTGGTCTCCTGCTTAGGCTGTCCCAAGTATATTTAACACTTTTTTTCTGCCTTTGTGTATGTATATAGGCCTAGAGTGTTTCATTTTGGTGATGTCTTGCATTGCCAGTTGAAACACATAAGATGTTAGTCTTGTACAGGCTCACTGGTTTTGTATTCCAACAGGTCTGGTCTAGTTTAGGGAAGGGTGAAATTTAATTAAATTTGGGAAAAGCACCTTTTGGCATGTAGAAATCAGAACAGTTATATTCATATTTGAAAACTGGCAATGAAAGGAAGTAGTTACTGTACTGAGGAGGAAAGCCTGAATGATTCGGGTGCCCCATACGTGAAAGAGGCCCTGGAACATGCCAGAAATCTGGTGACTGGGGGGTCGGAGTACACAGGCTCACTCCTGCCTCTTACGCTACGAAGAAAAAAAATATATGCCTAAAGTGAATGGTAAACAAAAGTTAAGGAACAGCTTAGATTCCGTTCTGATATACAGAAGTGACCAGCTTTCAGTTAGGTATACCTAACTGGGAGTTGCGTGCCTTTAGACGTTACGAAAGTGTGCATTTCCGCGTTGATGGGGAAAGTGAGATGCGCGTGGTGCGATTCGGAGCGCGCTGCTTTGTGACAGTAAATGCTAGGGGGGGGCGGCCGGCTAGCGGAGCGTAAAGGCGGGCTAGGCTGCAGGCTGCGCGGTGAGGGCAACGTGGGGAGGTAAACACTGCCATCGCGAAGCGCAGGAGCGCCTGTCTGAGCGGCTGCGGGGATCCGCCGAGCGTCTTCGGCGTCCGGGACACCGGTGAGTAACAGAAATCCCGCGTTACCTGTCCTTTTAATCGAACCAGAAGCCCATTTATTCTTTTAAGTATAAACGACACCTGGATCGCCCGTGAAAGCAGCTCGCCCTAACATTGTGTCATGCATACCGACTCTTTATACTTCATTAAAACAGTAATAAAAGGCATCATTATACCGCTTCCCCCAAAAAGGATTTAATCATTTGCTGAATTTTAAGTCTGAAAGAGTGCAGTTCTCGAAGTTTAAAAATATATATATATTTTAATGCGATATCTGTGTAGGCGGTTAACGATGTTAGACTCGATCGCTTCCTTTTTTCGTTTGGCGTTCTTTCCGAAGCGCGACAAACGTGTTTATTCTTGTAGGAAAATGGAAAGACTCAACGATGTAAGGAAAAATTACTGTGAATCGGGTGCCGTTTCAAGAACTTCAGATACTCTGCCATTATTTCCTTATAGTAACAGAATGTGCAGTCTTAACGTATAGTTAGTGCGCAAGAAAAAAGGAAGAGGCTACCAGCCGCCTTTAAGGGTCTTAGTGCAAGACTTTCGCAGAGTTTGTGGGGAAAAGCATCATTTTCGTGCCTTCCCAAATAGTCCTAGCAGCAGCCTTCCAACGTTTGCATAAGTTTAAGTCAAAGTACGCATCATCATGCACATGAGTGACGGGAGGGGGTGGTTACTGGAATATGAAGGAGTGCTGTGAGTGAGAACTAAGGTGTAGGTGATACTTTATGTGTACGTGGGTCGCTGTACCATCCTGTTCGCCTTCATTTGTGGGTCTGAACTCCATTTTGTGTCTTGATCGGGGCCATAGCCAGGGTTTTTAAAATACCGAGGTCAAAAGTTAGCTTAAATATTTCAGCAACCTAAACTTTTAGAACTGTATGGTTTTTATACTGTGAATTACTGTAAAGGTATACCCCGTTATGGGTTGTACTCGTTGGATTTGCAGAAAAAATACTGAGGACTTCTCCTTGGTGTCCTCAATGGTAGGTACTCGCATGGCTGTGATTGTTTATTAAGATTATTTGTTTAGTTGAATCCTGCCCTCGCACATCTGTCCTGCTCACCTGGTCCAGCACACAGCTTACGTTGGTGTCTGTTGGTTTCTCCCAGTCACACTTGCTACCTTTCGTTTAAGGCAGTGGGAGCTGTCTCTCCTATGGAAGCAAAGCTCTCTAGCTGCACAAGGGGTTGGGCAGGTAAACTGAATCTTAAGGTAGGATCACCATATATCTTTTTCCCAGACTTGTGCTCTTTTTTTTGGGACCAAAAATACCTGAAATATCTGGGATTTCACTTCAATTCATGTTATAAATTTGTTTGCTACTTCCCATGTGCATATTTGCGTTGCTTTGACTCCTGGTCCTGGTGTCTCTTTTTTGCCAATTGAAATATGGTCACACTACTTGAGGTAATCCGTGCAGTATTTCCATGTGTGTTTTTGTCTGTGCTGAGGTAATGAGAAGGTTTCTGCATCACTCACCAAATGCTCAGTCGGCCTCCTGTCCTTCCCCTTCCTGTGAAGATCGTATCGCCCTGCTTGGGCTTGTAACACTCACCGTTTCATGAAAGGTGACCGACTGTTTTGTTTCTGGCACATCGTAGAGTGCACTCTTACCAATCCCCGTAATCAGGGCACAGTCCCCACACCAAAATAACCACTCCGCTTTTCCCTGGGTCCTAAAATCAGATTCCTGGGTAACTAACATTACATTAAAAATCTGTCATTGTTTTTGTAAAGAAAACCAAAAAAACAAAGCCTAAATCTATCACTATAACAAAATGGCCACCATTATATTTAATTAAAGATTGTTCTTGATGCTCAATGAATTCCATAAATGTGGTGTAAAGCACATGCGTTGGTGTGTGGATGTGATCTTCATACCCTGCCCTGCTTTCATTTTCTTTCAAATCTCATTAGAAAACTCCTTAGATGTTTTAGAAGCTAAAACAATGTCTTCTTTATTGGTTTTTCACTTTAACATGTTAATCAGGCCAATAATAGCTTTTGACCAATTGGCTTTCCCTTGTTATCCTTCTTTCCAAAAAGCTAGAAGTGCATTAAATTGGGAATATCTGTAATGGCGTGACACAGAATGGGAACTCTGGGTTCAGAGAGAAGCGTGACACAGTGGTTTTGTGGGCAAGGACTGTAGAGTCATCCGCCCCATAACTGCTCTTACCATAGCAGAAATCCTGATTGACTTGTTTTCACCATCGTTTACTCTCCCAGTTTTGAGAGGCTTTTTGTTATGCCTGTTTTTTTTTTGCGTGTGCATTTGAAATCAGTATATGTCATTTCGTACCAGGGTAAGGAGCCACATGATTGTTTGCCATCAAGGGCAAAGATTTTTCAAATAAATAAATAAAAATTTGGAAATGTCTGGAAAAACAATGACATAACATAAGCACCAACTGTTGTTTTGTGTTTTGTGGCGTGGGCTTTGCTTTAGTCTTTTAAACCACAGTAACACACATGACTCAAGAACAATATAAAGAACAAAAATACTGCTGTGCTTTTATGCTGTTATGAAATTGTTGGCTTCCTTCTCTTTCAGCTTTTTGATGGGTAAACGTTTAACAGTGATTGATATCACTGCTTTGATGTTTAATTTAAAAACAAGCATTTATGTACCCCAGATAGCGCTAAGGTGGATTTACAAATTCCTAATGCTGCATTTTTTTGCAGTGATTCATCCATTCAGACAAATCCAAGTGCTTAACCATTAAGGGGGGTCTCAGTGAACCTGGAGCCTATCCCAGACTGCGCAGGTCAGGGGTTAAGTGAGAATGAACCACACACTGCAGAAGTCATTCTGGATTGTGGCAAACGCAGCAGCACAATTTGGGTAAAAACAACACTGCCACTGACTGTTATTGTCACTGAAGCATCCCAGTAATATTCTGCTCCACCCAGCTTCTTCTGAGCAATAAATGCCTAAAAAGCTGCCAACTCAGCGGTAACTAGACAATACCTGCTAGTCAGGCAGCCTGTAAAGTTCTGTGCTTGGGAATCGCTCCTTCGTCGTTTTGCCACACTGTACAGAAGAACCTCAGCAGTGTATTGCTAGTTGCAAAGAGATTACTGGCCTGCATTTGTGACAATGTGCTGTGTGAAATTCTTAACCACAGTAAGTAGAAATATGCAGCACAATGCAATGGATATCTGTGGTGATTTGTAGCCGAGCATTTAATGCAAATGAGCTTTCACTTCCTGCTCCTGCCTTGGTTTTGCAAGCACTGTTTTGTCTATATATTTGACCAAGACGTGACAGCGGTCCTGCTGAGTTATGATGGAGAGCTTCTCGAGTGTCATCATACACACTCTCCGATTATCTCAATTCCAGTTCTCATTTAGCAAGTACGGTGTGATGTCTAACATGCTTATCTTTTAGGTGACATCATCTGCAGCTTGCGGTGTCGAGTTTTTCGTGCAGAAATGTAGTTTTCTTCTCTGTGGCCTCTTCAGTTCTTGCTGCTTGAGACTGTTGCCGGCGCCAACTTCTCTCATATATGACTGTGACTGAGAATGTTGTTTGCACCTGCGCTGCCAGAACTCCCAGTTGTGGTGTGCAGTCTAAGGGGTTTGCTGACTTTTAATTAGGGTAATGATGTTTACCCTCTAGCCTTGGGTCGGGCAGTATTTGGTGGTCGTGTTTTTGAAGTGACGATTATCCAGGAGCTTATCGTTAAATAAGTGCTCAGTAGTGTTTTTCTTAGTTTTCAGTTTCCTCCTTGTATAATTTTGAGTCTTCTTGCTCTGCTAATCTTAAGAAATGTGCGACGCTGGCTATAGTTTCTGGGGATGTGTCTGAAAGGGGGTCGACCTAGAAAGAGACTGTGATGGAAAGCACACGCTTCCTGAGTTTGTTTAGCCGTGCAGATAAATGTAGCTAAACCCTTGGCTTTTCTGAGGTGATACTTCAGGCGTCCAGGGCCCATAAGATCGCTTAGACACCACGTCTTCCAAGAATCCACTTCTCCCAGCAGGCTAGGCTAAGACAGAGGATGTGCTGTGCCCCGCAGCAGGAGTGCAACTTGAAGGGAGAAGTGAGCTGGAGCTGTTATGAGGAAATTCAGAGCTTGTTTAGGAAGACCGTTCTATTTTAGAGAACAACATGGGAAGGGTTTCACGCCGATAGTGAGACGGTGTGTGATTGGGAAACCTCTCCTGACGTTCGTTTTGAAAATCGAGGATTTTTTGACCTGTTCGTATACATCACAAGTGCAGCCACGTCTGGACATATATCACGTCTTTACAGCCTGTCCCTGTAGTGTTTATTCTGACCCCAATATTTTGGCGTATCTACTTGCTAATGGTTTTCTGAAAGAAGACTTTCATAGAGACATTAGTCTTACCGCAATTCAAAGCCGGATAAAAAGCTTCATAGTAACCATTGACTTTGCCTTCCTTTCTTTGTGTAAGAAATGAAGTCACCTGGGGTGAGATGACGTGAGCAGCGGTAGATCATCCTCTGCAGGCGGAGAGTAGGAAAGCAGGTTCTTGCTGTTTCTCGTAGGAGTGGTAAAATTTGGCACTGCTTAGAACTTTAGTTTTTCTTTTTTTTAAAAAAAAGCCTTAGAATGGGACAGGAACTGCAATTCCAACTTGGGACACTTTAAACTGGATGGCAGTTATTCAAGAATGGGCTGGGTGCATCTACTTACGTTCAGATCTGCTGAGCGTAAAAGGCCCCCACCATGCCCGTTGAATGCCCTCACATTTAGAGAGCGCCATCACACCTGAGGAATCTTCAGGCTTATGTGTTTTTTTTTTTTTTTTTTGGGGGGGGGGGGGGCATATCAGCTGGAGACACAGTGACGTGGCTGGGGTCTGTTTCAACAGCTTCTCTTAGTCTTGGAAGTTTGGATTTTTCTCTCTGGAATAGAGACGCGATACAACTAGTCCGCACATGCTCTCTGACTCACAGCAGAAGCATTTCCCTGACCATCACAGCCCCACCGCTTCAGCATGCTCCTCTGATGGAGCAGGCTT